ACAGTGCAATCATCACTTATTCATGTCTCTAACTACGTTGCTTGCTGTTTTATATCTTAGGGTCAGGGTTAGGGCTAATTGTAATTTATATTCTATATTCGTGAATGGTGCGTCAGATGCACATGCGCATACGACGAAAAAAACGTCCAAAACGTACAAAATTAACTTTTCGTACGATTTCATACGCACTCATAATGAAAATAGGTTGCTCTGATTTGACAGATAATTAGAAGACCAGGTCACAGCGTTATCTGATAAAAATCTGTCTGCAAACCTTTTTTAATATGGCGGGGAGAAAAGCAGCCATATCTGCGATATAAATAAGACTGTTTTAGCTATGACATCAGCTGCTACACATTAAAATTAGAAGTTGCCAGGTTATCAGGTCCTGCCAGTTTATGAGGGTTGAAATCATTCAGTACTTTTGAACCCGAACTGACAGATATAAAAATATGGTGTTAATAAAAACATGTAGTAGTTACTGTATAAAGGTAAAAGAAAAATATTTAGAGTTTTATGAAAAAAAAAAAAATAAATAAATAAAAAGAAATATGGGAATGCAAAAATATAGAGCTCCCCTTTTCCAGGTGTTTTGGACCGTGCAGAAATCCTGGCAGAGGCTCAGTTGATGAAGAAGCTGCGACACCCTAAGCTGATCCAGCTGTACGCTGTGTGCACCTTAGAGGAACCCATCTACATCATCACGGAGCTGATGAAGAATGGTAACCTGCTTGAGAACCTTAGAAGTAAGTTGTTCACAATTTCCACTTGAATCTGCATCTACAGAGTTCTGACACAAGGAGACCTGATTTGATAAGTTTAATTTCAGTTTGCACTCATTGTCTTCCATTTATCTGGGTGTGGTCACCTCCCCCAGCAGCTCCTCTAGGGTTAGGGTGTTTCAGGGCCAACTGAAACACATATTCCCTCTAGATGAGGCATGCCCAAAGCCTGTCCTCAAGGGCTGCTGTCCTGCAGGTTTTAGAGGTTTCTCTGCTTTAGCACAGCTAATTCTGATCATTGTCGTTCAGCTAAAACTTGTTGATCAGTTATTAATGAAAATCAGCTGTGCTTAATATTGTCTCTGATTCTGTTGATGTAAATCTATCTGGATACAGAGGACAAAGGTGCCACTCTTCATATCTGGGACCGCATTGAAATGGCCGCCCAGGTGGCAGCAGGCATGGCTTACTTGGAGCAACACAACTATATCCACAGAGACCTGGCTGCCAGGAACGTACTGGTGGGAGAAAACAACGTCTGCAAAGTGGCTAATTTTGGCCTGGCAAGAGTTTTAATGGTAGGTTTCCTACTGATGTTAGACTTTGGTGTAGACAGGGTATAATGGTGACCGTTACAGGTGTATAGTTGGAGAGCGAATTGTCGTTTTTTTTCTCAGTTCACAAGAACCCGAGTACGGACTCGTGTTCTCACGAAGTACGTACTTGAGAAGAACACAGAAAAGTGTGGACTTGGGGAGAACGGGAGCACACAGCATAAATATGGGTCAATTGGAACAGAAGCGTACTGATGACATCACCACACGCTCTGCTCGTCTGAAGCTGCTTTTCACCTCCTGTTATTAATAGTCCCTAGATAATAATAAATTCTGACTTTTTTCTTTTAGTGGGTGGATAATAATGAACACAGTCAGATAAACTCAAATCAAATGAATATTTTGCCAAATAAAACAAAAATATCGCTGCCGTTAGCCTCCAAGCTCTGTTGGTTGCCGCGGTCCTCTCAACTTCAGAAAATCTTTTTTAAATTACACATTAAATCAGTAAATGGGCCATATAGTGACGCTTAAAATATAATGTTCTTCCCTCAAATGATCTTGAAACGTAATTTTATTGAACAACAGCAATAGAAAAGAGAACTTTTAACTTACCGTATTTTCACGACCATAAGGCGCACCGTACTAAAAGGCTCAGTCTCAGTTATGTGTGCCATTTCTGTATTTAACACACACATAAGGCGCACCGGACTATAGGGCGCATTTTTTATATACCAGTACATGTCCTCTACTACGTTTAAATACCTCTACTGCGTATTTAAAAATAGAGCGGGAGCAAAACTGAGTATGATTGTGCTTTATTCATGTATTTATTACAAAGTATTAATCAAACCTGGGAGCTGGCCGTGAGACAGACACATCGCAGATGACACAGAGCGCTGTGATCACTCCTCTGAAACAGTTTATTGACGCATAAATTAACTTAAAATGCAGAAATCTGCCGGCAGAATATGTTCGCTTTTATTATCCTGGTGCCTGCAGTTTAGATTATTTAGATGAATGGGATCCTACTGACAGCGCACCGCTGGTATGTGGGGGTCTGAGCGGCTCCGACAGAAATAATATTGGAAGGCAGGATGATAATCTGGATGAACTGACTGCAATGATTAAGTTTTCAGGTGGACTTTCTCACTTAAAAACATAACAAAACTACTTTATTCCCACTGATCACAGCAAATATAGCTGCAAGGCAAAGAAAGGATAGAGTAGCTCCGCCCAACGCACGTCAGACACTTTTGTACCGTGCAGCCAGAGCAGCAAAGCTGCTTCAGCCGCGCGTCAGAACTAACTGGTACAAGCAGCAAAAATGAAGCAGCAGACGCATGAAAGCAGCCTTACTTTGAACGGCAGGTTCACACCGATGTCGAGCGGCCGAAGTTGCTTTGTCAGACCTCCCGGAATAACAGCAAGCAGTGTTCATTTGTTTCACCATGTTTTTCACATGAGCTGTGAGATGGGCACGCATGGAGTCACAGATTAACAGCAATGGTGATGCGTGGAAAAAACCACCTGGTCTCCTTACATTCACCTCCCTCAGCCACGCTTTTATCATCTCCTCATTGAGGAGATGATAAAAGCGTGGCTGAGGGAGGTGAAAAACGTGGTGAAAAGCGTGGCTGAGGGAGTTCTGCATAAAGCACATACCTGTTCTTTTATACACAATCCACGCCCACACTTCCCCCTTTAACGTTCTCATGGCGGTCTCAACAATGTCCGCAGTAACAACACACATAGGGTGCACCGCACTATAGGGCGCGCCACACATTTTGAGGAAAAAAAAAGACATTTATATGCGCCTTATAGTCGTGAAAATACGGTAATACTCTGAGCTCTGTGAACGCTACGTTGAAAGGAGATAGAGAAGACTCATCCACGACCTCCGACACTAAACTCTCCTCCTCTTGCATGTTTCCTCTGTCCATAGCGTTCCTTGACAGTGTCGTTTCTAAGTCACTAATATAGTGCTACTTGGTCCCAATGGAATTTCCCATTGGGAACCTACTAGCACTATGTTGCTAACTGGTTAGCAAGATACTTCCGATAAACCGGCCACAACCAAACATGCATGTGAACCTTCAACCATAACAATCCCGACCTCTTGATAAATGACATTCACTTTATTAATTCGTGTAAAGTCGTGCACCACTCGGGAGAATTCAAAAATGCTACGTTTGTAACAGCTCTTTCCCTACGACTTTAAGTTTATTTCTCACAAATGTTTTGCTCAACTTTGCTACAGTATATTTTTGTATAAAAAGGTATATTTTTTTTTTTTCTTTGCTGCCGTTGTGAAATTAAAGATCCATAAGGTTTGTATATTGTGTTTGATTGTAGAGAGAAAATGAAAACGTATACAACGCAAGGGAAGGAAGTAAATATCCTATAAAGTGGACTGCTCCAGAAGCTATAAATTACAACAAGTTCACCATCAAATCGGATGTTTGGTCCTTTGGAATCTTGCTGTATGAGATCATGACATTTGGCGAGTTGCCTTACCCAGGTAAGATTCAGATGTCCTTTATCAAAGCTTAAAATCATCCCTACAAAGAGAGTTTGAGTTTGCACCGGCACTTATGTTTCTTACTGTTTTTTGTCAGGTTTGACGAACACAGAAACAGTGGAGTGGCTTGCCAAAGGTAACCGGATGTCCTGTCCCCCCAAATGCCCGACACCACTGCACAACATTATGATGGACTGTTGGAAGGAAAAGGAACAGGAACGTCCCACATTTCAGACTCTGCAGTGGCAATTGGAGGATATGTTTGAAATGGATATGAACTCCTATGATGACTATTAGAGTAAATAATTTTATGACTCTGGAACCTGATGTGGTCAGGTGAAGGTGTTGAGAATATCATGCACCATCCTATTCAGTTATAATAATGGACCTCTAGGGACTAGACTTAGTTCTGGAGCCTTGAACCTTTTTTCTGTTCCTCCTCTCTGATGAACTCCAGCCAAAGAAGCAATATTTAAAACCCTTTCATGCATAGTGGTCACTACAGTGGACAGTTATTAAATGGTTGCTTTCTCTTAAATGAACATGTTTTAATGTCACATTTGCACATATGTTACTACAGTGGACGCTAATGTATCATCCTGCCACTTGTCACACTGCCACCTACTCGTCAGCCTTTGCAAGTGACTTTATTTTCCTCAAAAAAACAAAATGGCCGACAGAGGAGCACATGGGTTGTGAGGGAGAGGAATATCTGCTCATTCCTTCTATTCTAGGCAATCCTTGCAGGTAAAAAAATATGGGGACATCAAGTAACAATTAAGGAGTTATATATTTTTTATAAATTCCAAGAATTGATTCTGTGTTATTAAAAATTTGTAAGTAATTATGTGTCCACTAAGTTGGACATCATGCATCGCTAGCTATATTTTGACGACAATATGTAGTATTGCTGAAACTTTGTTATTTTGAAAATACTTAATTTGTAGTGTTATTTTGACAGCATATCAGTTTATTTTTGTATTATAGCAATATTTGTCATCGTATGATGAAAGTAATGGTAATGTTTAAATTGATTTGTTTTACAGTTTTGTGATACATTTCACAATTTTGAAATATACATTAAAAAGTATGTTGATCAGACAATGTTTTTAGATGTTTCTTGTGAACAATAGTTTTCTTTAAAACAAAACAAAACAAGGTTATATCAGTTGCACAAATGCGCATTGTCCACCCAAGTGGACATGTTACCAACTCCCTAAAGAAAGTATATATTTTTTTAAAAATTGATGAAAATGTTTTTTTCATTCATAAAGAGTAATAAAAACACTTGGTAAAAAAAATCATATCATATGCTATCATAATTCATGCATGAAAGGGTTAAAGCTCTGCACTTGGGTCAACATGTATCCACTAATCCTGATGGCTACAAACTCAAACTAAAATGTTTAAATAGCACAGTAATTGCCGACCCAATCATCTCTTTTTAATCAGCTTGTTTCAGATTAGTGGAGCATAAGAACTAAATTTTTCTTTTCCATATTGGGTTGGGGTCTGAGCGGTTGACACACTGACAGCCACTCTGTGATGTGTTTTGGTGATAAGCCATTCTGTGAATTATAGACTAACAAAAGTATTTAAGGGTCTATTCTTTCAGATACAGAGAGCCAGTGGAAGGACTTAAGAAATGGGGTGATGTGCTTCACTTTCTAAGCTTTGGTGAGGATATGGACAACAGTATTCTGGATTAACTGCTACTGTCTGATCCACTTTTTAGTCTAACTTGTGGAAACTGTAACTATTCAATGCTACTAAAGATGAATTAGTTTTTCAATATCTTTTGCGATGTCTTTTAATTCTGTAGATGTTCCTTAGTTGATGGAGGACTAACTTTGCTACTTTCTACAATACGGTAGTGGTGGCTCAGTGTTTAGGGCATTGCACTTGGGTCCCAGAGGTTCTGAGGTCAAGCCCCACTCCCATGGACTTTGGGTCTGTGACCAAGACTCTTAACCCCACACTGCTCAGCGGGCACTGCACAATGGCAGCCCACTGCTCCCCAAGAGGATGGGTAAAATGCAGACAGTGGTTTCTGTTCCTTGGTACTAGTGTTGCCTCGATACCAGTATTGGGCAGGGCCCCGATCCAGCACTAAAATGGTGGTATCGGTATCGGTGAGTACCAACAAATAGGGCACCGATACCATTTTAGAGCCAAAAGTATATTCAAATATTGTCACACATTCCAGGTAGGCAATAAAAAGTTCTACTGGATTCACTTTGTATCAGTCTCTTTCCTGCTTCACAAAGGTAGGCAGCAGCTTGACAAAGCCATGATGACAATTATTTTACATCTAAGTAGTATGAAGTTCTGCTGCTCAGTGGAACAGTGGTCAACACTACTGCCTTGCAGCAAGAATGTTGTGGGTTCAATTCGCGGCCCGGGATCTTGCTGCATGGAGTTTGCATGCTCTCCCTGAGCTTGTTTGGGTTTTCTCTGGGTACTCCGGCTTCCTCCCAAAGTCCGAAAACATGACTTAGGTTAATTGGCTTCTCGAAATTCTCCTCAGGTGTGAGTGTGTGTGAATGGTTGTTTGTCCTGTGTCTCTGTGTTGCCCCAGTGATTGACTGGTAAACTCTCCAGGGTGGACCCCGCCTCTCGCCCGTAGACAGCTGGAGATAGGCACCAGCACCCCTCGCGACCCCACTTGGGATTAAAGATTTCAGAAAAAGCATGAATGGATGGATAATATGCACTTATTCATATACAAACACACAGACACATCAATTTCAAACAGATAGTATCGGCCAATACTGCACAGCCAGGTATCGGCAGAAAAAATGGTATTGGCACAACACTAGTTTGTTCTTATGACAGTGTAATGACAAAAAAGTTTTATTCTATTCAAGTTGACTTGTACCCACAAGTCAGTGGTGGCCGCTGTTATTTAAAACTACCGCCTCAATCACTTGTTACCTTTATTATGATATTTATTTCCTAAAGTTGGCTGATCGACCTAGCTTTGCCTGCTTCATCCACAAAGGTCGCGATGTGCTGTTGCCAATCTCCAGCCGTCTATGGGCGAAAGGCCTGGTTTCACCCTGGACAGGTCGCCAGTCAATCACAGGGCAACGCAGAGACACAAAAACATCAACCATGCACACACACCAGCCAATTAACAAAACAGTCATGTTTTTGGCCTGTGGGAGCTAGCAAAAATGCTACAAAATGTGCCACCATTTACCTCATGGGGGTTGATATGAAATAATTTCAATATGTTATCCAGCAGTTCAATAAAGATCTCCTCTCTCAGTCAGCTCAATATAAATAATTTATTAGTGGAGAATTATTGCACTGAAAGCCCTACAATTAGCACTATTCATCTACTCAACAGCCTGAAACTTAAAAGATAAAAGAGACACTGAAAAATAGATGAGAACAAAACAAAAGCAAATCAAATACCTCATTAAATATGCAGCCAATTTCAGTTAAGACTCCAAGCTTTTAGGTTAGTTAGTCCACCCTCACAGACAAGCTCCCAGATCTTCTGCTCTAGGGCATGCAAGACGACCAGACTAACAAAAAACAGCTTGAACTACACAGGAAAATGGGACAGCAGGAAACAGCACATCTGAAACTGCAAAACATAGAAATCTAACTAATAACTAGACAGTCCCATTACACTGTTTATTTTAATAATTATTTAACTACAATATCAACCCATAAACTGTACCTCACACACCTATGTCCAACTGTTCAATGTAGAATTGCCTTAAAATCCTGTGTGGCCACACTGAAACATCTATAAATGCAACATGTTTAAAAGGAGGTACCTGCATCAAGATTTAGAGACCAAACTGGAAGGCAGATGATAGGGTTGTGTTTTTTTTTCTGTTGCACTATGTTTGTTCAGTTCTGTAGACCTGCCACCAGAGGGCCTCCTAGAGGCAGGTTGCTGGGTTGTATGAGCCAACTTCTGCTGCACTGTGTGCCTTCGATTTCAGAGGCTGCATCCCCCAAGTACCTGGTCTACCTGGACTGGATCCTTCGAGGTCCTTGAAATAAGGAGGCCAGGGTCTCATGCAGATTTCCTCATTTAGTACTCATTTTATATGCCTTGCCATAGTAGGAGTGACTGTAGTTGACAGACTGAGATAACCAATTCAGAATCAAAGTAAGGCAGGTCTTAGCATCTTTAAAGGTCTCCCTCAGGCAACAGCACCAAGATTTAAAATCCACTAGACCTCCTCCTGCTTGCTGGAAAGTGACTTTCCCAATTTTGTTCACTGTTGATTTGTTGTTTCTTCTTAAGTCTTCTAGGTAGTATGTGCTACATTTAGGCTTCTATAAGTAGATTATTTCCTGTATTTATTACAAGGTTTTGGATATTTTATTTACCTCTAATCTTGCCCAGTTCACGCATGAAAGCGTGACTCTAACGTTAGTCTCATTGTGTGTTAGTGTGCCAGTTACACACTTGTTAATATCAACGTATACCCCCCAAAGCAGTGGTTTAAAAATTTCTAAATTGGTTTAAATATTCACGCTAAAAAAAAAAACGTATTTATTTTGCGCACTGGCAAAAACTTAAGAGAGTCAATTAGAAATGAAAAGTGGGAAATCACATACAGTAATACAGGAGATGTCCAGGAGAGTCAGGATGGTAATGAGGGAAGATTGGATGAAGAGTCCGGTATCGAGAAGGAAACTGTCACTGTAAGCTGCACATCTGTCAGCTGCATGTTTTAATACCACGTAGCTGTTGGCACCTCCTGAGTTACTGGTTGTACCACATTTGTGAACAGCACTTAATAAGTGCAAGAGGTTTAACCTGCAGTAGCGCATTCCGCTTAAGAAGAAAATACTAAACACTTTAAAACATAACAAAAACAAAAGGGTCTCTTGCTGGAGGAGGCAAACAGCCGAAATGGTGCCGGGTACCGGCCCAGTCCTGGAGACTGCTTCTTGGGGCGTGGCCCCCCGGGGCTCGGTTGGGGCCCCCATTGTGGGACGGGCAGCTACCTTCAGGCCATGGTCTGATTAGCTGGCTGCCGGCGGTTTTTGGCTTTTCACGACCACTATTGAGCCCTTTCCTCACTCAAGCGCACTCTCACAAACACCGACAGGTGCTTAGATCCGGTTACTTAGTTACTCATCAACTTTAATTTTCAGCTACCACTTTATGCACTTCATATTGATTAATACTGCATACTTCAGTGATGGTATCCAGGTGTTGCAGTATTCTATTTTTAGTTCTATACCAGTTGGTTGTGCTGTTCGTTTTACATCTGTCTCTGCAGGTGATGAAGCAAACTAATCAAGTTTTGTCCATCTCTATCTTTTGTCCCCTCTTTCTTTCATCTGTTCACTGTTTTTCCTCTACTTTTTCAATTTAGTCTCCTCCTAAAATGAGTTATTCCCTACATGAATCATAATAAAATTATTTTATAGTTTTATAAATCAAGCAGAGCACTATGGCGAAAGCGATAATGCTCTACTTATTAGAGTAAATTCTGTTGGGCTCTTTTTGGCATTAATAAGACAACAATTCTTATTGCCACATTGCTAGACAGGATAAATAAAATAAAGGGCTCTTGAAACTATTGCACACATTTTGAGTCTGACAAGTTTTAATACATATATTGTTTGTGTGAACCATAAAATTAGGGCTGTATTAATGTTTAGGGAGCATGAATAAATAGGATGTTTCCAATGCATACTTTGTATTGAGTTTAATTCATTTTATAAAAGATACTTTAAACAACACATCCAATTGATCCTCTCTCTTGGTCAAACTGTGGATTCTAATGTTCTTAAACACGATCCAGTTTATAACTGTATGTTTATAAAAAATGATTAATTTAAACGTTCAAAATGAATGCAAACACAACTTGAAAGTGATATCAGTAACTTTGGTGGTATGTTTTTATAATTAATGTCATAAGTTCATATATGTTGTCGTTAGGGTGACAAACATAGACCATGGTGTTAGCTTAGGGGTGCAGGTAGTTTCCTCTACCTGACCTTGCAAAGTGTGTCAGACAGGAAACTTCAAATCTTAAGTTGCACACCTTCAACTCAGACTTGTTTGTTCCAGTCTGGTCAAAGATCATTGCTGTCTCTCAGTTGGACTATTGTTATGTGTTCTATGACATAATGAGGTTAGCAGAACAGCTTGCTGCAAAGTGAATAAGCTTTTATGATTGAGGAGTGGAAAGCAACATGGCCACCAAGCTGGATTTTTCTAAATCCAGGGATAAAGATATTTCTAGCTGTGTTTCCTGCCATGCCTCTAAGCAGACCAAGCCAGACAATTGCCAGAACTTGTAAGATGTCAGAATGGTTAGAACCCCTTCAGCAGCTCGTAGGTTGGAATCAAAAGTAGGCTATGCTGTAAACAAACCTCTGCCCTCACCGTCGGGGTTTATGGGAGGGAAACGCTACACCGCCCTGTTTGATTGCACGGCTCGCACTGCAGATGATCTGACCTTTAGCACCCGGGATATTCTGGAGGTCATCGACTACACCACCGAGGAATGGTGGATCGCAAGAACCATGTCTACCAGTGCAAAGGGATGCATTCCTTCTAACTATTTGGCGCCTGTAGAGAGGGTTGATCCTGAACCGTGAGTATTGTCACTTTATAGAAAGCTGCTTTCTAAAGGTGTTTTGACACCAGGAATTATTTTATTTGGAGTGGATTTAATTACCAGACAGCCACACATCTGATAATGGCTATCCCTCATGGATAGAAATGACTGGTTAGACAAAGCACAGAGCTAGAAAGAAAGAGAAACTACAGTGGGAGACATGCATGTTGCACTTCTACATATTTGTGCTATTATCTGCAAAATATTTCAGATTTTTGAATAGCATTGAGAAAACGTGTGCATACTGCAAAACCTGGGTAGATCCAAACTAGCAACAGGGTTGCTAATCAACAGACAGTGGATCAGGATAGTGTCGCAAATGAGTGTTACGCCATAAGCTACAGAGCTGCCAAGTTTCAGAAATCAAGAACAATGAGACTTTAGTTTCATGATGCATTCCGCCCAAAACGCTTCAGTTTTTCTACCACGAATTCTCTCACGTCCGTGCCAACTGCTCTAACTGCACTGTCCCCTCCTGACGCTAGTCTTAATTAACCAGAAATTAGAAATAAAACAAGAAGGAAAAAAAAAAAAAGGGGAAACCCATCAGTGCTGGTTTTATATCAGTTCAGTGCATAGGCTGTTCAGGACAGGGGCCAACAGGGGCCAATGCCACTGTAGAACTGGTCCAGACCACTGTCATTTCCCCTGTACTGAAAACACACAAAGCAAAAATGTAAATATAAGTACGCACATTTTTCTTAAATAAGTGTATTTTTCCTTGATTTAACGAGTTAGACATTTACAGATGGATTATGGTGGTTTATGTTTAAAATAAGAAAAGAAAAATCTGTTTTATTTCAAATGCATATCATAAAATAATCTAATTTTAAGAGCAGAAATACTAATTTCTCTGGCATCTCAGTCAATTTAGTGGCTCAAATAAAAAGCATTATTTTAAGAAAATTTGTACTTTTTTAAACCAGTTTTCACAACGTAATTCAAAAAATTATCTAACAGTAAATCAATTTCTTATTATAGTATGTGTTACACGATTCAAAACGGGTGGAAAAAATGTAAACAAATGATTGGTCTTGATGCCTTCTGCTTCCTCTGGGTGGAGGTCCTGTCATGATTTGTATGGAGGTTGTTTGAAGACCCAAATGCAGCGTCCGGAAGGAAGAGGTTAATCTTGCAAATTTAATGAAGTAACTGAGGAAAAATACAAAAATACATAGAACCCAAAAAAAACAAAACTTCAGAAAAAACTCACATGGGAAGCCACAGACGAGGGAAACAACAAAACAGCAACAAGGAACAAGCGCTGAGTGACTGCAGAGGTGGTGTATATAAGGGGAACAGTACAAAGGATGAGCTAATGAACGTGGAGCAGGTGTGAGTGGAACTAACTAGAAGGAAACCAGGGGGGCAGCAGATAGTAACTAAAGACTGCTTAGATATAATGGAGAATAAACCAAAGATTAACAAAACTGAATAACTAATAACTGAAAACAAAAAACACAGTCCTAAAAGGGGAGAACCATTACAGGTCCTGAAAACACAAATTAAAACCCCCAGTGAATGAATGACATGGAGCCATCTTCTTCCCCAAATTCTCTTTATCAAAAATTCTGAGAATCATGAATTTTTACCATGAAAATTCCCCAGCTTAATCAATCATCATGTTTTTTTTTTTTGCTTTTTCTAAATGATCCATAAAGCATTGAAAGGGCAGCAACAATTCCCATTGGACATGCCAGCATCCAAGGGTGGAAGGCTTCAACAATTCTGTTGAAAAGTAACACTACTAAAAAAAAACCTAATCATATTAGCACATTAAATATAGACATAAAATTGCCATGTACATTTTAAGTACTCTTAAGTTGTGGAAAACTGTAAGACTAACTGCAAAACTAAGTTGGAAAACTGATTACACACTGAGGAACAATTTAAAACCTATAACAAATCTTTAAACTGTGGTTTAAAATATAACTGATTATGTAAAGCTGACAGTAACTTTAAAACTTCCATAAAGTTAAGCATTTTTTTTTTCTCACTCTGATAACATCAAACCATGTGTCAGGATAACACCGTAACCTTAATAAAATTGGATATGGGAGTGTTACCCAACTTGTAGATGCGTGCAACAATTTGTATACATCTTAAATGTCTGCAAGCGCCAGAAATGTTCAAGCTGTATGAAAGAAACCACTCTGTCTCATGCCTATACATGTGACCTGAAAATCAGTACTGGCATAACTTATCCCTTTACATTTTGGGAGGAACAGTTTTCATCAGCTTCACACATTGATAAACTGAAAACAGAAATTAAAACCCACAGTGAATGAATGAGGAGCCCCCTTTTAAACCAAACTCTTGCTGAAGTCTAAGTTAGTGGCTGCAGGTGAAGATTGTCAGTCCTCCAGGGGCTAGTCATTTCCAAAAAAGTAAAAAGACGACAAAAATCCACTGGACATTGTAAACATTTCCAGGAAGCTTTTTTTAATTCAAATTGAAATAGCAGAATAGCATAAATAACATTGAGTTAGAGACGTTATCCAGCAGCCAAACAAAGCCTTGTTTTTGTTTAGAAAACATGCAAATAGAAACAGTCAACGTTTCTATTTGCTCCACCCCTTTGGAATGGGGGTCATTTGGCTTCTTTGTTAGCCTGCAATGCACCATACCTGTCTATCTGTCTGAAAAGGGCGGTTGTTAAAGGGAATTGTTGGCCTGGCTGAATAGGTGAGGGGCTTGTGTACCGACTGGAACTGTTACCCGACTACTGAACTACTGAGTCTGGCTCCAATTGTCCAGCCTGTCAGCCACACTGTGTATGGTACCTGCAACTATGACTCTGTCCTGGATTCTCCCTTGGCGCCTCACCGGATCTCTGAACTCCTGGCTCTGACAACCAACCACGTCACTGACATCGGCTTTGGCTTTGTCCTCTGGATTATCCCGCCTAAATTCATCTGCTCACTTCTGAAATCCTGTCTGTCCTCCGACCACCGATACATCTGTGTATGGGCCTATAGACGTGGTTTCTAACCTATTGACTCGACCCATAGAAGTTCCTGCCTTAGACGCCGATGCTGCTTACTCTGATTCTGTTGTCCATAAACTTTCTTGGAGCCTTCAGTTCTGAGCCTGACAAATGGTCTAATTTTTGAGTTTGCAGGATCATTTGAATTTACTGTGAAATCCTATATTTACATGTCGTTTGTATTCGTCAGCCAATGAAATGAATGGCTTAAATAAATAAATTAGATCATAATGAAATATTTTACTATTTTAGTATACTTTGTCCTGTTACTTTAATGTACAAGTCAAAAGCATTTACACAGGTTGAATTTTCTAACAATTTAACAAAATACTTAGGATTATTTTTTAAATACCGTAACAGATTTTAAATAATCAGATGTATATATACTTTTATTTGGCTTGCAGATGGTATTTACCAGAGATTAAACGGCGGGATGCGGAGAGGTTGCTGTTGTCTGAGGGCAATAAGCAAGGTGCATTCCTCATTAGAAACTCTGAATCTTTCAAAGGAGAGCTCTCTCTCTCAGGTAAGCAAATCTAAGTGCAGTTTATATTAGCTTGATCTTCAACCCTATTGTTAGTTGGCTCTGGTTTGTAAAAACATCATTAACTTGGCTTTTTAGCTTTATTGGAAAATATTGAATTATTTTTCTTTAGTCATATATGAAACCATAAAAGTAAGAATAAGAAAATTAGTTCATTGCCAAGTTGTGTCTTACAGATATGAAGAATATGCTTAAAGGTTATACCCATGGACAAAACACAGTTCACATTAATAGATTCAAAAAGGTATGATTTGGAGTAATAAATGCAAGTTGTATGGGAATAAAAAGAAAATAGTGAAAAAGTGCACCTTTCTGCAGAGAAAGAGCACAATGACAGATTTAAAATATGCAGTAGCATTAACATGAGAGGAGATTAAACTTTGAAAAGGAAAAAAATGTTAGCTTGGGGCCAATACTTTGTTAATTAAGGCTGGCGGCAGAGGGGAAGAAGGTATTTTTGTGGAGGGAGGTTTTGGGCTCTATGGACTGCAGTGTCCTGCCAGAATTAAAACCGTAAAGTAGTTTGTGTCCAGAATGAGAGTAAACTGTAGTCTGTCCTGATTGCCTCCGAGTCCTGAGGCAAGCAATTCCTAGAGAGGAAGGAGATTGCAGCTAAAGCTATCCCAGAAATGTCCCTCATTAATGCGTCAAAAGATGAAGACGAAAGAGATCATTGTGAACTTCAGAAAAACCGGCCTAGCCACGCTCCACTAGTCATCAACAGCTCAGCTGTACGTAGAGGTGGTCAGCAGCTCCAAATTCTTGGGGGTGCACATCACAGACACCCTCACCTGGAATGTAAACACTACCTCACTGATCAAAAAGGAACAGAAGCGCATGTACTTCTTGAGAAGAGCCCACCTGCCCCCACCCATCCTCCCCACCTTCTACAGAAGCACCAT